CTTAGGTTTATCGGTTAATCGTACATACTACATGTTGACATCCCTACTGTAATGCTATAGGAATAGCTTAGCCACTACATTTTCATATACAGAGCAAGTATTATAAACACTCTCTCATATAGTGCTTTTCCTCAGATCTTTACAAAGGATGTCAGCATCATTATCTCCATCTTGCAAACTGGAGAACTGAGTCACAGCCAAGGGTCAACCAGAAGCCACACTAGGAATCTGTTTCCTGAGTCCACGTCTAGCACTCCAGTCAGGATGCTGGCACATTTCTAAACAGTAAATTACTAATGGCTAGAAAAATTAGCTTCTGAATGTTTTCCTGAAACATATTAAAAAGTGTGACAAAGAAATGGGAGAGGATCTCTCAATGCCGAATCAATTAAAGTAAGGCTTCCTCTATTCTTCCAACATGACAATATTTCTTGATCTTATTTATGGGTATCCATAATACTTTGTAGTATTTCAAATACATTACTCCACAACAGAAAAATTTAACTGTTTGTATCTATCATGTGAGAATATTAAATTTAAAAGAAAAACAAAAAAAAGTAGGATTCTTCTCTTATTGATTTAAATCCAAGGTAACTCTATTTACATTAATGAAGTTACTTCAGAGTTGCATCAGATTTTAAAAAAGTGGAATTCTATAGATTTCTAGATTTTAGAACCAAAAGGTAATTAAATCATCTAGTCTGACCTCCTGTAAAACACAGGCCAAAAAACATATAACGTATGTAATGCTTAAGAATATGGCACTACAATACTTGCAAAATTAACTTTAGGCAATATACACCAATGCCTCTGATTTCATAGAAGGCTATTTTTTACAATGTTTGGACTGGATAGATTATTTTTAAACCAAAAAAAAAAGTAATTCAAGCTTGATATTTTTTAAGACATGAGTCAGGGCAACAGTCCAATCACACATATATGTGGGTTCAACTAGCACTGAACCAGATCAGCTGACCTCTAAAATGAGAAGAAAAAATATTTTTCCCATTGTCTATGATTTAGTAACAAGAAGCATTTTATTACTATTTATATTTATTCATTCTAGGTTACAGTAGTTACATTTTGAAATGTACAGGGTTAGGCAAAAAATACACTGAATACAATAAAAACAGTGAAACTACATTCTCTCAAATCATAAAGTCAACAAAAAGTTACTACTGAAATTAGTTGTTTTTCATATTTTTCCTTTATTTAATTTACACCATGGCAATAAAATCAGAAGAAAAGTAGATGAGTATCTGTTGAGATTGGATTCGACCTAATTTTAAAGATACCATGCCCAGATGTCAAAGCTTTGTTGATCCACATTCATAATTTCAAGCAATTTGACGGTTAGATGGAAAATATCTTGGTGGGGCTTATTTTTTGAAGGGGGGAGAGGTAATACACAAGAGATAAAGTCACTTAGTTGTGCTCTGAATAAAGGCACATGGAACATGGCTATGTCCTGAAGATTCCAGGAAGTGGTGCATATTGTTTTACAGTGCATGTTTATCTTATGGTGTGTTCTATTTCTATTGTTATTGCATCGTGGGTTAAACATTATGAAACCAATGTTCAGACACTCTTGACTAATCTGTAAACTAATGTCCCTTTCAGCTAAAGACATTATTTTCCATGTGCCCTCATTTTCCTGAGCTAATACTGCATGGAATTAATAGAATTTAAAAAACAATCAAACAAAAAAAACAAAGTGGGTTTGTGATTTCACTTTTTGCAGGGTACTGTCCACCTTCATCAATCAGCCTGAATATTTAGCTTATACAATACAGATCCCACAACACTCTCCTTCTAATTATTTCTTGTAACTGTTATGTCATACTGCAAACCTTTGTTATGTTCAATATCTATTGAGCAGCCATTTACTGGGCCTGACCTGCAGACTTTATTCATGCAAAAGCCCCATTAAGGTAAATGGGACTTCTCCTTGAGTAAGACCTGTAGGACTGCCTCTGTCATAATTAAAAATAAGGGTTCCATAGGAGTTTTGCCACTGACTTCCAGGAAACCTGGATTTCACCCTTATGTGTTAAAATGGCCAATAGAAACATACAGTATGCGATACAGGAAAAGACAAATTATATTACAGTATAGCTATTTAAATAATTTTAAGGTTGTAAAATTGCCACAAATGACAGAAAATTTTAGGTTTTGATTGATAATCCATCCTTAACTTCCAGCAGCTCTGAAAAGTACTGAAAATACTTCTTTCATAGATATTAAAAACAAAAACAATATTTCTGATTAATCAGTTTTTACCTATCATTTTTACAAGTCACATTGAGGATCAGTATAAGTGAAAGGTATTAAGCAAAATATTTTTCCTCCATTTTCTCAGGGCTTGTCTACACTTAAAATGCTACAGCAACAGAAAAAGGTCTCCTGTCAGTGTAGCTAGGAGGAACTGATCCTTCCATCAACCTAATGCAGTCTTAGATAAGCTTAAATCCCAGAGATGTGAATTAGCAGTGATGCAGCTGGATCAACCTAATTTTCTAGTTTAGATCAGCCCTGTTACTTTACTTCATGAAACTGATAGCACTTTTGGTGTAGTTTGTTTCGTGCCTTCACTTGTATAGTCCCAATATCCAATCATTTCTCCCTGTTTGTGAGGTCACAAAGCAACAGGCAAGACAATTTTTTTGTTAAAATAAATAGCTAAATGTGATTGTAAAACCCACAAAACTCAGAGGGTTTCTGGCCAGGTGTGATACCTCAAATTATTTGTCTCTCTCAGCTTGCATAAATGTACACCAAGGAATGTTTACTGGTACTTACTGGGAATGGATTACAAAGGATGGACACAATTTGATTACCACCTGTTCTGTTCATTCCCTCTGGAGTACCTGGCATTGACCACTGCTCGAAGACAGGATATTGGACTAGACGATGGACCTTTGGTCTGACCCAGTATGGCCATTCTTATGAACTTTATGAACAAAGAGGCAGATTCAGGTCTTGGACATATATACTTCAACTGAACAACCAAAAAGTATCAGAATTCAATGTATAACATGATATCACAAGACCTCAGTAGAATCATTGGGTATGTCAACTATTTTTTTAAATATACCTATGATCAGTATATCAAAATGGCTCCTTTGGAGCTCTTGCTGTCTACAAGCAGAACAAAGAGGGTAGATCCTTCACCCACTGAAAGACCTCTTGATTTAAATGGGACTCAACATGAGGCTAAGAGTTTGTTAGGTGAGATCAGTTCTGCAATATTGAAGTCAAAGGATGCATGCATAGTTTTGCGTTTAAATATAGTTTTTACAGCAACCATTGTCACAGGTCAGATTTTAGTGTCTTAGCCAAATTAACCGTTTTTCAAATGCGACTCCAAAATATTATCTGATTTCTGAAGAGAGAAGAATAGGATCTAATAACTTTAGTGCTATTTATCAGTGTATTAAAATTAACTTTTAAATTAAAGACTTAAAAAATTGTCACGCAAAGCCCATCTATGACATTTCAGCCCAAAGTAAAATGTATAGAGCTAAATTCTAAAGACTGAGCAACACTAGGCTAGCTTTCTTAAAAAACACTTTCTTTAGTCCTAGAGACAACTATTATGTTTTATATCTCCGGAACTCAGGGTAACATTATGTTACAGTTTACTATACTTTGTTCTGTGTATTATTTAAAAAAATTAAAGTTATAAATCTTTTAAAATAGGTCTATAATATGAATGTATAATTTAGAAAACACGAAACCAGTGTCAACTATCATTTGTATGCTAAGTGAAACCTAAACTATTTAAATAAGAGTCTTGTGAAACAAACTAGTAAACAACAGGAAAGAAAATGCATAATTACACCCAACATATCCCTCTTGATTTGCGCCTCTCTGTGGGAGAGAAGTGGCTCTAAGCCTCCATAAGGACTACAGGAAAACCTGAGCCTGCAACACTGAACTCCAAATATCCCATCAGATTTCTAAGTTCTATATATAGACCAATTCCAGTATCTGACTTTTGAACTTCCTGATTTATCAGCTTGATACACACCCATAGTGGCATTTAAATTAAGACTGTGTAAAAAGATTTAAGTTTCATTTGCACTTTATTACAAAAGTCATAATTGAAATAAATGTATTTCAAGCACACAGAACCACCAATTCCTAGTTCCTGAATTTCCAGTTTTGCATGTACTTTCTCATTCACATATACAAATATCTGCAGTTTTTAGATGACCTTTTAATCCTAAACCAACAAGTAGTCCTGTGGCACCTTAGAGGGCAACAAATTTGTTAGCCATGTTAGTCTGTAACTTTAAAAACAATTAGTAGTCCTGTGGCACCTTAGGGGCTAACATGGCTACCCTTTAGATTTTCAATTCAGGATTTTAGATAAGCATATAAAATTTAATGATCAGTTCCTCATCTGGTTTTGAATAAACAAAGACTTCAGTGGAGCTATGCCAGTTTACACCAGCTAGCAATCTGTTCTAACATTTATTTCTTCACAGGCGTCTATAAGACTGCAAGTAATATTTTCTTAAAAAAATAGAATGTTTCATCACTCAATTCTGATGCAAAAACCACAGGCAATCAAAGGTAATCTGGACTCCAACATGCTGCTCCCCCCAGCATGTGTAGAATTTCTATTGGACTCTCCCACAAATGTATTTATTAAACACATTTAATTTTTTAAAGCAAGGCTCATACTCTTAAAATAAAAAAGGCCACACTCTTATTAGCAGGAAGTCAAGGGAGGGTTGTCCGACTTTGTATACTAAAATTTCAGCTCAGGGCAAATTTTAATTCCCTGAAAATATTACCGTATTTTCCGGCGTATAAGACGACCCCCTAATTTTTTAGTTAAAAGATAGGGTTTCGTCTTATACCCCAGCGCCCCTCCGCCTCCTTTGCTCCCCGTGTCCCTGGTCTGCTGGAGACGGTCCCCAGCAGACCAGAGGCACCGGGAGCAAAGCCGCAGCAGCTTTGTAAAGCCTCGGGGGAAGCTATCCGGTGTACAAGACGACCCCCGATTTTTGGGGGATGTTTTTTAACATCAAAAGTCGTCTTGTACGCCGGAATATACGGTAATTTCAAGTCAAAATCTTTAAAAACAGGAGCATACAGCAGAAACCGTGATACTCTGAATTGTAGCTGTATAAATATGCCACCATAAAACAAAAATAGTTTCAGAAATACTTTCAAACTGTATTATGAAACTATTCAGTTAAAATTTGGCAAGTGCTGTCATACACAATTCAAATAGACTCAATACTAACGTCGACATAAAAAGGTCAGTTTTCCTGTAGCACATCACATCTTAATTCAGAATATAGAGCAGCATGATAAACACTTTTAATTGTACAACCAGAATGATTGCATATTTTCCAGTAGCATAAAAACAGAGCATTCTTTATCCCAAATATGATATTAATACCAAAACAATGCAAGTAGAGAAAATTATTTTCCCCAGGAGGACTATAATCCTTGAAACCAGAACAAACGCTAATGGGCCAGGTCTTCAGCTTGTATAAAATGACATTGGATTTTTCTTCAAAGGAGTGATACTGATTTATGCCAGCTAACTATCTGTCTCAATATCTTTAGGAGACAGATAGAGCAACTGACCAAACTAAAGCCACATTCCAGGTATTTTCAATATTGTATAATGGACATCTGGAAATACCAATACATTCTATGTCTCTAATCTGAAACATTTTCCTAATAATTAACTAGATGCCATTGAACTAGCTTATCCTGAGAAGGACACCATTTTAGTATCATTCCCATATGCATGTTCCACCACTGTTTTCTGATTTAGCATTAACAGCAATTTACAAAGTAAAATCAAGTAATGAGTTGGAAGCAAAAAGGTGTTTTTTAAAAGCAGAAAGTGTATTTTTCTTGTTGCAGGTAGTCAAAGTTAGAGTGCTTTTAATAAAACTTAAATTTCAAAGGTCAGTTTCAATTTTTAAAAAATCCCATCAAGCTTCAATGCTAAGGATTGGTTTTATTTTTTTCCCCCAAGATTCCTATGATCTGCCCAAGGCACAGAAGTTAGAGAAACTTCATTGACTACAACCACTGCAAAATTACTATTAGAGTCCTGCAAATTATCCGCAATATATCTGAGAGTATCTATAGCCGCATTCACATCCACAGATGCAGATATGCACAGTTCATTTTTGCAGATACAAACGTGGATATAAATTTTGTACCTAGAACTCTGGAAATTTGCGGATAGGGATGCAGATATCTACAGCTCATTTTTGAGGATACACATTTTATATTTGTGCAGGGCTCTAGTTATGACACAGTTAGAGATTTCTAATCCATATATAAAACTTTATACTACACAATAAAACCAAATTCTGCTGAACTCTTAAGGCAATTTGCTTTCAAATGCTTAATTGCTCCTTTTTTTTTTTTAAGTAATGTTTCATAGCATGCTTGACATACTGAGTAAGTGACCCTATTATACATAAAAGAAACCAGTCACTGCTGTAAGCAGCTTTTGCATGCATGGGAAAAACTGTAGAGTTGTCATGCTTTAATTATGATGCTCATATTTTAATTCTAAAAGTATATATTATATATTAAATCTAGGAATACAAGAAATTTTTTTCCCTGAACGATCTTAAACAGAGGAGGACAAAGTTTGTTACATTTCAACCACACACAGTAACTCAGTGTTATAAATGTATAGCTTCTAACAACTTGAGCTAAAAATGTACACAATTTCAAATTAGGGAGATTTCTATCAAGTTAGTATCAATATGTCTATCAAAATTATACATGAAGGAAATCTTGCAAAGAAATTTACTCTTAGTTATTTAAAAATTATCTGCGGCGTAACCTTTCAAACAGTCCCTCTGAAAAAACAGTTCTCAAAACTCATTGTTAAAAAGACAAACACAATCATATAGAACCATACTTTTTAAAAATGATATAGAAAAATGGCGGGAAAACTATTAACACAACATTGTTACTTTTATATTTAAAACTGATAAGAATTATTAGAGCTATTCATGTAGGACCTGATCCAAAGGCTACGTAAATTGATAAATCTCCCACTGTCTTGACTGGGCTTTGTATCAGGCCTATAGATACACAATGGTAATTCTAAGTGGAAGAAAATTCCAAGTGGCTAAATAAAAAATTATAAAATCACCATGATTTAATAAATGAAATTTTAAGAGCCCCCAAAGACCTGTTATATTGTCTTTACTTAAATGACATCTAGGTAGAATCTTTTAATTCCTATTAGATTTTTGACTTTTTCCGTATTAGAAATATCACTCCAAAACTAAGGATAATAAACTATATAAATATATATTTTTGATAACTAAGGGGAAATTATTGTGTTATGAAAGCCCAACTGTAAAGGCTACAGAAAACCACATGTATTCTGGCAATAGTAGTGAGGATTAGTTATTTCTATTATATACTGTATAGCTTAATCCTAATTTACACATCAAAGTTTCAAGCCTGACTATTCAGAATAACTATCAACAAAACCAAACCACACAGTAGACAGTTACTATATTATATAAACAAAACTAATGCTATGACATTCCCAATCACAGGTAATCATTTCAACGGCAGAGAGGTGGTTCTTGCTTTATGACCCACCAGCAAACAGTGCATTAAATCCACCAGTGTTTACCAATCTCAATGTCAGACTTTTTTTTTTTTTTCCTCGTTAATTCTTGGGCCAAGACTGAAATATACTATAAAGCAAAGGTGGGGAACCTAAGGCCCAGAGGCTGGACAACATTAGGGAGCATCAGACAACATTAGGGAGCCTGTGCTGGTGATCCATTCCACCTCCTCCCTGAAACTCCCCTTGTCGACCGGGAGCACCAGTGCTGACTCCCCACTGCGGAAGGAGGAACCCCAAGACTTGAGCACCTGAGTCAGGCAAGCCAGAGCCAGATCCAACCCACAGCTGGTTGGCACAATAAATCACTGCCTGGAGGCATTTTCTCCCACAAAATGTACTAGTCCTGGCCCCCACTAGGCTCTGGTATGTGAGGGACTGTCTTTCTGCTATTTACTTGGGGGCCACATCAGTGAGGTGATTTTTTTTTTTTTACTTCTCACTTGTGGCCCCCGACAGATTTTTCTGTGGGTCAGTGGCCCCTGACCCAAAAAAGGTTCCTCACTCCTGCTATAAAGTCTGCTTATCTCAGGACTAAAGCTGTTCTTTATATTTCAGCATGAAAGATATAGTTTGACCATATATATACAAAATACACACCCCTACCTACCCATGTTTTCTGTGCATATGTTGCACAAGCACAAAAGTGCATGTGAATAGATAATTATATATACAGACGCATACACAAAACTGGTGTTTACTCTAAATAGGAATATTGTATGCAACATGGTAATGACATTAATAAAAGTTCTTGTGAGAAAATTAACTCAGTATGTACACCTAATTTTTAAGGTAGGCCTGTTTGTGACTTCTGTAAAAAAAAAAAAAAAAAAAAAAAAGGAAGAATGAATATGTAGACAAGTTTAAGTGGCAGAATTTAGTTATGAATGGATTTTTAAGTATGTCTTAATTATTATGTAGTCTGGTTCGCTAGGATTCCTTAAGTCTTTAAATTTAAACTTGTATTTCTATATATAAAACTTTTTGGCATGCAAGAGGAACATATAGATGAATACAGATTGCTTCTAACAAACATAGCTGTACCATTCCAAGGGTATGTAACAAGGATTCTAATTTACATCTTGCCAAACTTTGGTGACAGATTTTTGTTTTGAGTTTTGCATGTGTGTGTTTGTTTTTATAAAATCATGTTAAGTTTTCTTTAAATAAAAAAATTATGGCATTAATGGTAAAAACCATCACAAGAAAAAACACTTGTGGGGAGAAAAACAAATTTCATTCTTAGCACAATCCAAGGTAATAAGATTTTAAAGACTAAGTTTTTGATTGATTCAAATCATGCTCTTCAACATTCCCATTCTCTGGAAACACAGCTGGAAAATTGTTATTAAAAGTCGCTGGAAACTCTAACGTAGTGTCAACATTTTGATAGCTCACATAAGAATTAAAGGACTGCTGTGGAAGTACTTGGCTATCAGACATCTGCATGTATGCCCCAGATTGTGTTGTAGGGGGAATTCTTTGGCCAACTAGTTGTATTTTAGGTTCCCTGGGCTCCAGTTGTTGCTTGGTTTCTTCATCCGTGTCAAGACGGGTTAGCTTTTCTATCCACATGCGAAATTTCTCCTCTGTCTGCCTCTGCATCTCAGCAAAGCAGTTCATGGCCTCTTCCAGGACATTGCCTATGCAGTTCCTATCCCACACGGTGCCCCTGTCAAGCAATCCTGGAATTTCCCTGGTCGCTCCTCCAGATCCCCCAGCACGACTGAAGCCAGCTTTAAAGACATTGAGGCCATTTGATAAGACAAGATTAAGTAAGAACATAATAGTGTTTATTAAGGCATGCTCAGGAAAACAGTATAAACTTTTCTAACTATGGCCAGATGTACACAATGTTGGGAGCCCAATCTGCAGCATCCAAATTACCAGAAGCATTAACTTCAAAGTAAAAACCCACTTGGCACTGAGTTATTTCAATTTCTTGGCTTTAAAAATATTTTATTCTAGATTTTTCTAGTAACTCTGCTGTCTCAATGTGCTCATAACTTTTGGAAACCAAATTTAGTCTAATTCCCACTAGGGAGGTAAGAGCTTAGCTGTTTCAGCGGGTAACCGATAAGCCAAAGCTTACTGGTTACCCAAACAGCTACATGCAGCTCCCAGTCTGGCTCTCGGCAAGCCCCATGCTGCTGCCTCTGATATAAAGGCAGCAGTGTGGGGATACAAGCGGGAGCCAGTACACATGGGGAACTGCCTGCTGCCTTATGCTGCCGCCTCTGTATCAGAAACTTTATATACTTTCATTGTTGATTCAAAAATCAAATCATCATACAATATTTAATGATAGCATGCATACCTCTGTTAAACTGAAATACAAAAATACCATTTATTTTAATGGATAAACCTGAATAACTACACATTTTACTTAAATCATTTGACACTAACACCCAAGACAAGGGATAGGTAAACGCACACACAACTGTCCAGGTGATACCAGAGAGAGATAGTAAAATTGTACTGTTTCAAGTAGCAACTCCCAAATTTTAACCCTGTTAGCTTTTATTTATAAAACTTTACACTGAAGAAATAAAATATCACAAAAAACCTCATCTTGTTTGTAGTACATCATAACATCATGCTAGTATATGGGGGAAAGGAGGAGTCAAACAGATTCCGATGGCCGGAAAACACACACCATAAGGAAAATATTTTCAATGACCCAGCAAAACTTCCGCTGATTCAAATATGAGCAAATCCAGACCCTTATTCTCCACAGTAGCAGAAAAATAGCATTTTATTTCTAGGAAACCCTATCTCCTGGGTCCAGTGAGAAGGGAAACTGCTTGCTCTTCCTTCTCAGGGCAGTGATAAAATGATTGTCATTGGAAGGGTGAGAAGCAATCTAAGCAGAGGAGCACATGCTAGATTATTTTAGCATCTAACCAAAAAAGAAAGGGAGAGGTAACCTATGCTTTGGTGCTCAAATGCTTCAAAATGCCACCTCAAAAAAAAAAAAGTCAGTAACATGAGGATCTTGTATGAGGACAAGTCAACAGCATATACCTGGGACAGTTAGTTGTCCTAAAACATAAAGGATTATTTATTTAGACATTTTCTAGACTAGATGAAGATCACATTAAGCTATTTAAAGTGAGTAGTTAACCAATAGAGTTTACAACTATTTAAATTTGTATTTATTAATAAATTATACATTAATAAATTTAATAAAGTGGCTTTTTTCATTTTGGAAGAGTGTTTGGATGCTTACAGTTTTCTTTATAAGCCTCATGACTTGCTACAGGATATGGGTGTCCTAGTAAACAGCAAGTCATTATTGTTTACAAAATCCACAGGTTATCATATATTATGAATAGAAATCACTGGACAACCTAGATCGCAAATTTACTTCTAACTAAGGTAGTAACATTTTTGGGGATTTCTCTTATAGGAAATTAGTGTCATTTAAACAATACATTATTTTTTGAGGAGCCATTTAAATTAGATATGTAGAAGAATTTTTAAATTTTGGATAGTAACCTATATTTAAGATTATTCTGTTCTTATTTTCTATTATTAGCAATGCTATAGTTAAGAATCACATGGCATTTTCACTATGAGCTCCAGTTTTAAGGGTTTATCGCTCATTTGTTTTCATACTAAACAGGCTAAACATGACCATTTAAATTCTCTATTCTACAACATTGTATATTTTATCTAACAGTGTTGGCTGCATTATATTTAAAATGAGGTTGCAATTAGAAACCATAATTACAAATGGCATCTTCTTGGTCATCAGATCCACTTCCTGTGTGTATTCAGGGTCACATCTATTCACTGACAAAATTTGTTTTCTTTTTTAACTTCCAAGTATTACTGCAGGCAAATACAAATACAATAAGAATAAACTGAACTCTATGCTTGTTCATCAAGTTCAGTGAATCCAATGGAAGACTTTAAATGGGTTTGCATCAGAACCCAACAACTTGTTAACTAAGTTCTAATTGCACAATTCTTTGTTATTTTATCACTGGTGAAGATGGACAAGAAATAACCCAGATTGACACACAAGACCCTGAATGAGTTTGCAAGGCTAAAAGGTAGAAATAATATGTTTTCAACTTGTCAGCTGAAGGAATCTGATATAGGTGTTAAGATATCATTTTAAAAGAAGTACTCTTCAGAGTATTTTTATGCTTTATATTCCCAGGAGAATTCTGCACCACCCTATGTGCACAGAAGTCATGTCCTCCACAGATTTCTTTGCTTCCCCACAGAAAAATGACTTGACAGGGAACCAAAGGAATTCTGCAAGAGCAGCCATGCACCATTCCCTAGTAGTGCAGGTATATTGTTTCAGGCACCCAGAGCAGCCAGCAGAGAGGTAAATTACTGTAGGGCTGGGGACACCTCAGTCAGTAATTCCTACCCTGAGCCAGATTTAGCTGCTAGTTCCAGCTGGGCTAGAGGAAGGAGAAAACAAGACT